TGCTTTAGTTACATAGCCCTTATCCCTCAAGGGGACCCTGAGGGGTGGACTGTTTTTCTCTCCAACATACTCCAGGCTTACCATGGCCAATAATGAAACGTAATTCCACAATTAGGGGCAATGAGGCTTGTCCCTTCATCAAATAGCCCCAACAATTCAAATCCTCCCGATTCCCTGACGCCAGGCTCTCCTTTGACCACGGCTCCGAACACTGCAACAACTACCCCCTACTCAATGCCTACTAGTACAGTAGTCAACACTCAACCCCCAGGAGACATTTCTACTCTCCCATCATGCTCAACATCTCTACCCCCACAACCTTCTACATCAACTACCCCATCCTCCCTTATTAATACCTTACAGCCTTGTTGCCCACCTCTCCATAACACTACCTCCCTCAACACTACTCCCTCTTCGACACGCCCCCGCCCTTCTACTACCCATATCTCTACAACAATCTTAAAAACTTTATTTAACCCAGCCAAATGGGACCGATTTTTCGTGATCCCTCCCACAGCTCCCTACGTTGACAACACCCTTCTCTTCCAGCAATGTCTCCAAAAACAACTAGGCAAAGTCTCTTTCCGTAGCCGATCCGACCGCACCCGTCTCGTCACAGTAACATCCGAAAACCAAGCTATAACATTAGCTAAACTAACTGATCTATGTGGTAACCCCATCCTTGCAGAACCCCATCCAACCCTCAATACTTGCACCGGAACTGTTTCTATCTCTCCAGCAAATTGCCCAATCTATGACAAAGATTGGTCAGATTGTGGAGAAGACTTACTCGCCTGTCTCACGGACTATGGTGCGACATCAGTACAATGCTACTCCATTCCTCCCAGAGGTCATCGTAACAAACCCAATAACATCGCCAAAATTACTTTCCGTAGACATGACCTTCCCTTTAATGTTTACATAGGTGAAGAATCCCTCCCCGTCCGACCATACCAACCTCCTCCTCGTCAGTGCCAAAATTGTTGGCGTTTAGGACACCCAGCCAAACACTGCCGTTCCACAGCCAGATGCCCACTATGTGCCCAACCTGGCCATATTCAATCAAACTGCTCTGTACAATCACGGACACGTGCCAACTGTGGTGGCCCTCATAATGTATTTTATAGGGGCTGCCCCACCTACAAATTTGAGTCTGAGGTAGAAACTCTCAGATTCAAACTTGGACTCACACTGCGTGAAGCCAGACAGGAAGCACGTCGACGAGGTTTTTCTCTTAATCCCTACTCCAGTAATATTGCTCATTCTACTACTTCCCCTACCTCCCAAGCTCCTACACCCTCTCCTAAACCTACCCCCCCTCCATCTAACTCCCCCTCTTCTACCTCCTACCTTCCCCAGTCAAACTCTTTTGCCATCCTAAATCCAGACTCTCCAATCTCCACTTTAACCCCAACACCTTCCCCTCTCCCTCCCCGCACTACCCGCAACAGACAGAACAAATGTTCCACCCCGCCTTCCCCTACCACACAATCACCTCCACCTTCCTTTGCCCCTACTCTTCAGACACCAGTCTTCTCTTCCCCCCTCACAAGAAATCCTTTATCTCACAAAACTCCCCAACCAACCCCATTGAAGAAACTCTTGAAAATATTCAAGACTACTTAATGAAAACTGACATTCATCAACCTTCAAATCCTACAACTCCTGCTCCCTCCACACACCAAGTGACTGCCGATATCCATCC